ACGAATGCTAGGACTTGAACTCAGGACCTTGCCTGAGGGAGTAAATACTCCAAACCGCTATACTAGTGGGTCCTTTGCAACATCATGTCTATTTTACTCATTATTCACAGTTACAACAATTTTATATTGAAATTTACCAAACGGTTTTAATACTACTTTTTGTACTAACAGCACTTTAAAAATAGTGTTTACCAAACATGGAGCTGCTTTATTTTACAGCTAATTATTTTTAAAGCACAGCAGAAGCAACTTTTTTAAAAAGTGACAGCAATCCCAAACTAGGCCTTAGTAATTCCACTTATCCTTATGCATCATTGATGGTATTAATATACCCCAAAAAATAAATATAAAATATAAACAATAATTCAATTTGGTGATGGATGATTGGCCGGGCCGGGGGAATCACCACCACACCCTCTCATCAGATCTCTCGTGTTATCTCACCCTCCTGTTGGGTTTGATCTGATCAATTATTTCCCTCTTTGTATGGCTAAGGAAAATAGATATATATTTACAAGAAAAATAAATTTAACGAGAATCATTTGTTTCATATTTTAAAGTGCCAGAAACTTCACAATCAGGTTTGTACGCTCCAAGATTTCTTTTTCTTTTTCAGACTTTTTCCCACACAATTCTATAAAAAGGTATCGTGCATTGGCGTCTCTCGTCTCTAACTAATTATACACAAACGAACCAAAAGGGAGGGGGCTTGTCCTTTCTAGGAATATTAAATCAGACCCAACACTAATCACAATCATTAGATTGTATTAAGATATTGTGTGTGAATGAATGCAAAGAAAGGGATCAAATCAAAAGGGTTGTGATCCAAGCATAGGTTTTCACATTGATATCATGCTTTTGGTAATTCAAGTGTCGTAATCACAATCATATTGTATATGTCACGTTAATTAGAACGATGCAAATCAAACCTAAGATCTGATATTGTATCATAAAGTTAACGAGTTAAAGCGAACGAGACTGTGTTGCGAATGTTATATCTACTTTGGTTATTATATATAATTTGGATTATTTTTATTTGCTGTTCTTTCACAAATCACTGACCTGATCACATAAACAAGGTGACAAAATTAGCAATATCATCTCAATCTTTCATTGTTTAAAGCTGATTAACCTTACTGATTACTTTGCAATGTTTTTGTTTTTCTGCATCCATCCAAAAAATTATCTGTTTCTTTACTCTTACGTACGTTTTTATTTTCTCGCCGATAATAACCTTGTTAATTAACTAAATTGAACGTTGACAATATTGAAACCATAATCCAATAAAAACTTAGTGTGAAAGCTCTCAAAGCTTTTGACAAAAAAAGAAGCTCTCAAAGCTTGCGAACGAGAGTGCTTTCTTCTTCCCCCAACCCTTTCCTCTGTGTGCATGCAAAACATATAGCTTGTGTACTGTGAGCTCTCTCCCTAGTTGCTTGCGAGTGGAAGCTTCTCATACGAAGCCAAAACGCAGGTGTCAAACTATATGGTTTTCATTAACTGCAAACAACAAGCAACATTTTGGGATTGTGTTTTCATTTTTATAAATCACATCCAAGCTTTAAAAAAATCTACACCCTTCGAGAATCTTTTGTCAGTGTCTGAAAGTGAAATGAAAAGAGCAAAATGCAAAAAATGGATAGATGCATACCGTTCGATAATCTTGTTAATTAATGAATACCCTCCTGCACATAAGTATTTTTGAAACTATTGATGTCTTTGTCACATTGTTGCTAGTTAAAAGCAAAACGTGATGCACGGCTGTGCCCTGTAGAAGTTGAAACTAAAATAAAGGTATCACGAAAAGTTATCAATAATTAGTTCCCAACAAAAGGGCAATTAAACTTAACAATTTGTTTGGTCGGTATGGTATAGATAAGTTGATCGAACTCTTTGGTCTCAAATTTTGTGGACAGAAGTTCGAAACCCCCAAAAAAAAATATTTTTGCGTAAACCACCCAAATCGTTTGTATTTAAATAAAAGAAGAATTGTTTAGTAATTGGATAATCTATATGATAAAAACTTGCATGTATGCGTCCCGAGGGTTCAAGTAATAGGGTAATTTCGGATAAAAAAGTTTCACAGCTAAAGTAGAGAATTATTGTACTGGGTTTCCTTTTTAGAAAAGCATCGTTCAAATCAAAATGTGACCACTGCCTATTGTAGAACCATAAATTAATCTCGTGGGCTCGCTTGGTACAAATGGTTGTAGAAGTCTGTCTCCCCTTCCAGTCTAAATTTGACACCATCAACCTTCCCAAGTGTGGCCACAACAAATTTGGGGCACGTCCCATGTTAGACATACAATTATTGACTGGAGACAAAGAAAACAAAAATTCAAAATGATTGAGCTAACAAAAGCATATAAACAAGAAAACCCTAGCTTTGGGGTCCCACAGAGTTTGGATTCAAACTAGGGTAAAGAAAACAATGGAGACAAGAAACACCCAACATCAATAGTGATCTGTATTTCATCAATAATTGAAAAGACCATAGCGTAGGTGGCACCATCTAATCTAATCTAATCTAATCCGTAGTCAAATACAATATTTTCCGTACTGATGAGATGCCGTACCAATCTTTTTCCCAAGAGAAAAAAAAAAGGGAAAGGAAAAAAAATGAATTTGTGTGGTGTTTTATTAGGGTTTGGCAGTCTGGCTAGGCAGCAAATTGGAGATGCATGTGAGAAAAAGAGGGAAATGGAATCTTCCTAGAAGTTGGAAGAACTTGTCCTTTACCCTTCTGTCACCATCAGTTACTCTCTGCCCATCAATAACTTTGGGTCCTTGGTTTTCATATTTGATCTGCCTTTTTTTTTGCCCACCACTCCGAAAACTTGGTTTGTTTAGTTTTTGTTTCTGAAATTAGAACGTGAAAAACGTAGTAGTCTTCTGTACTACTTTTGTGCCCTTTTCTTCAAAAGAATTACATATTCAATCGAATCCAACCGAACTAAACTGAACATAGACTCATTGGTACTTATAATAAATATAGAGGCCAGAAACCCGTAACCAAACTTTTATGCAGCTTGAATCTAGTGAAATCAAAAGAGAATTGTAAAAACCGAAGGAGAGAGAGAGAGTAATATTAATTCAGTCCCATGAACTCTCTGTGTATGGAGTAATTTTTCGATGTTACACCAGCCATGTATCCTAAAAAGTAATGCAATAAGTTGGAGAATAATTTCACATGTCATATATATATTAGATGGTATACCAATCACGTCGTGTATTGTATACCCGAAACATATAAAAACTTCTCTTGTGCATGGCATTACAGATTCGTACGTTTTCATGGCCTATTTTTTTTTGTGTGAGTGGAAGGTTCCTTAAAATAAAACTTGCAATAAATTGTATGCAACAACAAATGACCGACAAACTAGGAGCCAAAACTAGGGCAGCCTACTCTAAACACCAAAGGAAAATGAAGTAGGGTCCAATTCTCCTGTTCGTCATGGGATCCGCATGAGTACTTATCCCTTTTACTAGTGTACTTCACAACCAACATTTTCTATACTTGTAGTCGTCAAATAATTAATAAATTTTTTCCAAAATTAGAGCAATATTATATTCCAAGATTCTCTCATCATGATTAGTCTTTATCTTCGTTCGACTTCATTATTTTTCCAAGAAACATAATATTTATGTCATTAACTTAATAATAAACAAACTCCATTTATTTTCCTATACTTGTCAAAGCTTGAAGAATTATTACATGTGTAGATATGTAGGGAATACAGGTGCCTAATATTTTATCAACTGATGGGAATCTCACATGTGAAGAGTAGGACCTCCCCTTTTTAGGTAATTATTATTAATTCTGATGTAACATTTAAAAAATAAAAGCTAGGATGGATTTGGAGGCAAAAGAACCAGCAGTACAAATTAACTTTTGTTCCTCATGGATCGATCACGTTATTCAAGGCAAAACGTGGTGCACGGTGTGGCTAGTAAAACAAGTAGCTGAAACGTAATACAACAATTTACTATAGAAGTTTACATCTTAAAACATATATATATGTGACGGGTTAGGTCAGTTGTTTAATGCAGTGTGTCTGCTCCCTTCATCTGAATTCGATTTCCCTTCCTGTACATATAAATAAAATGGAACTATATATACAATGATTCAACAAGCCGCAGGAGCCTTAGCTTAGGGTACCTCTTGAGAGAGAATAATACTCCATCTAGGTTTAATTCTCCTTGTGCCTACCAAATAGCGAGCAAAATAATAAATTGGAGACTTACGTTGGGGAGGTGGAGAACAATCGTTGAAAGCTATTACAGGTAGCGTTAACATATGTATTGCATTATTCTTCTTCAATGTCTCTCATGTCATGCGTATAAATAGTTCAGAGTTCCACGTGCTCATAAATGCATCGAGGAGGGCCACAAATTCATGGTCTTGCAACCAGTTTGTGCCACTTGACGCATAACTTTTTGTGAATCAACGGCTGTCATCAATCTAAGAGTCTAAGACCATGATCATGATCGGGCTGAACAAGAAGAATCAGCATCTGCATCGAAGCAATTGGGAACAAAGCCCGGGACCAGCATCAAGATCCTTTGCATATACAAAATCTCAGACCTGGCTTTCAAAGTCCCCCAGTGGCCAACTGGCCTTTCTTTTCCAAAACCATCAGCATCAAAAAATCATCAACTGGTCTTAAAATTATTCACCCTGCCCTATCAAAATTACTATACCTTATTACCCAAGAAAGAAAATTACAGCATCCCTCTGATGAGACGGCACGACTATAAGTGACCCGGCTTGGCTTTTTACAAGTAAGAAGTCATTCTTCCTTACAACCAATCACAATCTGACACATATGTAAAACTAACTCATTAAAATTACAAAATGATACACACATATCCGAAAATAATTTATCTGCAAAGAGAAATGACTCATTGTTTGCATGAAAGAAAAAATATTATAATAAGAACTTCACAAGACACACAAGGATATGGGTCTCATCCTCAATGATTAATTCACAGACCAAAAGGCTTATTTATTAGCAACACAACAACATTCTTTGCATTGTATCTGGGTCCCACTCATTTTTGGAGTTTTGCAGGTGAAGGCAAAACATTAGGCATCCATTCTGATCAATCAATGCTCAAGTAATAGAAAAGGACATCCGAGCTAGGGTTACTTGCGTCGCGTGGGACCTCTAAATTACCGCAAGATATAATTTTCCATTATTATAATAAATCCCCATCTAATATAAATTCCACAATATTAATGAGGTAGGACCACCTACCTAAGAGATAGATTCTTCAATAAGTATTTTATGTTAAGGATTAGTTACATACTTTTAATTTTGACCGTTGAGTTACATTCATTAAATTTGTTTGTAGTCTCTTACATGCAATCCAACAATTGAAATTAGAATTACGTAAACTTAAAGATTTATTGGAGAATGTCCCTGTATATAGCAATCGAGACATTTATTTATTTATTTGATCACAAAACCTAACAAGTACCCAACACTTGGTATCTAATATGTTACTTTCAAATATCTAATTGAATCATATTTCCGTTAGCTAGGGTAGGGCTCATATTTCTGTTAGCTAGTGTGGCAAGTTATGTGTGGACGTGGTCGAATCTCAACCATCCGAAGTACAAAGCCAAATTGCAAGATGATAACAAAAACCAAGTGACCCACTCCATATATTGGCCTTATCTTGTTGATGAAGAAGGAAGGATACCGAATTCTCAGTTAAGATAAGGCATATTTTTTTTTTTTTTTTTTGGGTAAAAAGATAAGGCATATTTTCATGCCATATGATATGAGTACCAAATTAAAATAACCTACACAATGCGATCTGATATTTTAACCTACAGCTAGCATATGTAATTATACGAGGCATGCAAGGACACAATAATGCAATTAAGGTAAAGATCAAGTGGACTCATTTGAACCATCAATTCGGGGCATCGACAAGCAAATCTTATTTTTATGTGTCCATATGTACTTACTTCGACAGAAAATGTTATGTTGGGGCTTAAACCGAAAACTTTTACCTACATTAATTAACTATAAACCGAACTTGTTAATTAATCATTATCACAAAAGTGTCCTTAGTTGTATAGCTGTGATTCAAGGAAGTATAGGTATATAAGTGCCTTAATGGGAGTTTACGGTTTGATTGGAATGCGATCACAAGGACATCAAGACCTCACACATGCCGGGAGATTTTACAATGAGAAGTTTAGAGTGAGGAGCTTATTTGAAGGGTTCAATCACACCATCAAACCATTTAAAATGTTTAAGTCAATTCATTTCCTCACATTTGTTGATAGTGGAATTGAACCCCCTATTCACTATAAACTACTCATTATAGCCTTTCAGCACACAGGCCTGATTGATTAAAATGGGGTACAAATTAGAAGCCTGAAAGTGAGTCTCCAAAGCTGGCCCAAGTACATCAATCTCTAAGTTCTATAACCCATGGGCTACTATAGAACTCAATAGTACTTTCTTTTCTGATGATAAAAATACCAACTGATAGAAGCGATATTAGAAAGGGAGGAATCGAAACAAGACCTCCGATGGGCCAGTAAATAGAGTTATTGCAAAATTGCAACTGTTTAGTAATAGGCAACATACCCAGTTTTGTGTATGGGTAATGTAATCCAAATTATATAAATACAATATAAAGAGTAGTATATCCACCAAAATTGCCAGGTTTTGGGCTAAATCTAATAGATGGGCTAGGCTATCTTGAGCCCAACTGAAGAGTAACCAAAACGCAGCGTTTAGCAAATTTTTAATGGTCCAGACTCCAGAAGACCGACGTCGACGCGACGTCGTTGTCATCTAGCTTAATCACAGCCACTTGGACCATACATATACATACAGACTTGGAATGGTGACCCACGCCGCTCCATCGGTTACATATTGAGTTCCGGAACCCGAAAAAGGAGAAAGTATCACAAAAACTCAATTTTCATTTCTCTTCACACTTCACAGCTCCGAGAAAGAGCCAGAGAGAGATTGAGGGTTCTCTCAACTCTCCCCATCTCTCTCACTTGAAACTTGCTTCCAAAGCGCTCCCTACCATCAGTAAGATCTTCATCTACTTCTGTTTTTATTCGTTTGATTCTTTCACTTTTGTTTTAGATCTTTGGGTTAGTTTTACAGACCTGCGGCTCAAAATTTCAGAGAAGGGTTTGGTTTTTTTATTCTAAAGTTTGGATCTTTTTTCGAAGTTTATATGAATGATCGATTGTTTGATTGTCTAATTGGGTCTCGGGGTTTTAAATCACTGTTTTGAGGTGCCGTAATTTTGTATTTCTTTGGCTGAATCATTTTGCATTTGCGTGTGTGGCTTGCCTGGTGCATATTCAGCGAACTTGAACTCAATAGGTGTAATTGGTAGATGCGTCAATGATCTCAAAATAGAAAACGAGATCAGTTTAATTCCAAGTGCAGTGGAAAAAATATAGTTTTCTGCCAAATTTACTGTGTATTCTTCTTCTTCTTCAGTTCTGAGTTTTAGAAATGCGTGATGTTGGCTGACATTATTGGCTATAAGACACCTTCAATGCCCCAGTCAATCTTCATCACACTTGCTTTGAGATACTGCTGCAATAACCTTTTCTAGTGGTGATGTGTTAGTGAGACGGTTGGTTGTGGTCAATATGTGGAATTTTGCATCCAGCTGCATAGCTGGAAGTGTTGGATTGAAAAATGATTCTCTAAGGCCAACACAAGCTGCTTCTGAATGTTCTGATGATGAGGGTTCTTCTGTTGTTGGGAGAGAGGAAGGACTAGAGTGCCCCATATGCTGGGAGTCCTTCAACATTGTCGAAAATGTGCCCTACGTTTTATGGTGTGGCCATACCCTCTGTAAAAATTGCATTCTGGGACTGCAATGGGCTGTTGTGAAATTCCCCACTTTACCAATTCAGCTTCCTCTTTTTATCTCATGCCCATGGTGCAATCTCTTGTCCTTCCGGCTGGTTTACAGAGGAAATCTCAAATTCCCTCGCAAGAACTACTTTCTTCTTTGGATGGTTGAGAGCATGAATGGTGATAGGGTTAAGTCTCATTCTACCTTCTCTGGTGATAATCACCCTGTCTGGCCGGCAAATGGAAATGCATCCGTGGGAAGTCAAGTGAGCCACACTCACCACAGGAGGGTACACCATATTCGCCATATCGAGCCATTGGGTCAGAATCATGCCCTTGTCAATAATTACCTTAGTGTGGAGCGATTGCATTCTTCCCTTCGGAAGTCGCTGTTTTTCTTCGTTCATTTGACAGCAAAGTTTCCACTGGTTGTGATATTTCTTCTGATCATCTTATATGTAATACCTGCCTGTGCAGCTATATTGGCTTTGTACATACTTATCACGGTTGTGTTTGCTCTCCCATCGTTTCTTCTTCTGTACTTCGCATATCCAAGTTTGGATTGGCTTGTCAGGGAAATCATCACCTGAGGTGCTATTGGCTTGCTTTGTTTACAAGCACTGTGAATATAAGTTTGCTTCTACATGATGGTGCCTCCAATCCGTATTTCTAGTATGCAATTCGACGACGTACCAGTTTCCATGATGCAATGTTATTTTTCTACCAAAGCTGCTTGATCTCAGCACAACCCTTCTCTGCTATTGTCAGAATCATTTCAGCTCTTGTAGACGTTCACTTGGGCATGTTAGTTTCTCAAATTTTGGTTCAGGAAGATTAGATGCAATGCAAGTATCACATCTTCCAGCAGAGGATTGCTTCATGCATATGCAATGCTCTCTTGCTAGAATACAGAATACTTAGGACATACAGGGTGTTTGTATGAAGACTTGTGTTTAATAATATGTTTTTATAGTTCTATTACTTTTGTGCTGCGTAGTTCTAGTATGATGGTGGTGGATTTTGAACGAAATTGTTTATTATGGTTATTTCATTAAAAAGGAATATTGGTTGTACATATTTCTGACACTGAGAGGATGAGTCTCTCTCTTCTTCGATATAATCTGCAATTCTGCAATGTGAATAACCCAAGGCAATGGATGACAGAGAACTCATTCTTCCCATGCTTTTTCTGTTTCAATAATTGCTATCTAAATTAGCCAAGGCAAGGTTTATAGATATATAATCCTTCCTGCCTCCATTTCGACCAAAAGAAAAAATGCAAATCAAATTTGTATGTATGGATTTCGACCTGGTTAAATTTTGTATGAATTTCACTCTTTGATCTTAAAGGCTTTTTATATTCGCTCTCAAATAAGTAATCTGGAGCCAACAGAAAACTACCATTGATTGTTTGACTTAATTTGTGGTGACAAGAAAAGGTTGGCCAAAAGCGTCTTCTTCTTTCCCCACCATCCACAATTAATCTAAAATATACAGAAAATCCATGTCAGGCAATCCGACTAGATCATCCACGTGTCAAAAGCATAACCTGGCATTGCAACCTATGATTGTGTTATGTACCACACCTCTGAGTGGTTTGGTTGTTTGTGACGAAGTATTAAGAGAGTTTGGAAGAAATAATGGCAGCCATTGCCGTTGCTTCACCAAAATGCGCCATTTTGCAGAACCCAATCTCTCTCAGAGAACCAAGTTGGAGTCCTTTTGGTGGGTCCTTGAAGGGTCTTTGTTTACAATTGAAACCCAGAAACAAGAACAAAGAAGATGCCATCAATTTGGTGGTTGCTTCAACAAACTCCACCAACTCAGCAAACACCAGTAGAAGCAGAGGTGGTGGCCGCTTTTACATCAACTTCACCGGGTTTCCTTTTCCTCTGGGTCCGTTTCTCAATAGAAGCACCACTAGGACTGAGGTCAGCTCATTTTTTTCTTTACCTTCTTCTTGACTCTGTTACCTTAGTGATCATTGTAATGCTTTTTGGTCTGAACTTTTATTCCTATGAATATATCTGTACTTGTTTTCAGCTGAGACTTGCTTAAAATTTGGTAATTTTGGCTTATGGCTTGACAAATTTCTTTCTTTATGCTCACATTTGATTCCTGGTCCTCTGGTGTTCTCAATTTTCATGTCTTTTTTGTCACTCTTTAGTAGAAGCCAGGTTTATTACAGCTTATCAGATTTTAATCAATGAAGAGAGAAACTTTCACAGTTGATTGCTCAAGGATGGCCTTATAGCTTTTCATACTTGATGTGCAAATTGCTGTAATTGATGGGTTGCTTTATTGACTTAAAAGTGTAACCTTAAGTGCTTGGTTGGTATTTCATTGAGTGTACAAAGGTATGATCTTTGATTGCAGAGCAGATATTTGTTCTGGATGATCAGAGTAGTTGTATTATTGTAGCGTTTACAATAACTTTTCCTCTCTTTTCCGCATTTGTTTTAGGCTGTGAAGGGCTGCATATGGTTATTTGAACAAGAGCAAGCATTAGGCTTCAGCAGTGTGTCAACAAACATTAGAATGACAGTCATCAAACTTAAATCTGGAGGACTGTGGGTTCATGCCCCCATTGCTCCAACCAAGGAGTGTATTCAGGTTATATCTTGCTTGCAGAATCGTCTCCCATATGTTTTTTGTTCTCAACTCTGCGTAATTCTGCATATCCGGTGCTTTTGCTAACCAACTATACTCTTCTTATGAGCTTTTGTGTCTCTTGGCAGCTTCTGAAAGAGTTGGGAGCTCCCGTAGAATACATAGTTCTGCCTACCTTTGCTTATGAGCACAAAATTTTTGTTGGTCCATTTTCTAGAGAGTTCCCTCGAGCTCAGGTATGGGTGGCACCAAGGCAATGGAGTTGGCCTTTGAATCTGCCACTGGAGTTTTTTGGGATCTTTCGTGCTAAAACCTTAAAAGATGATGATTTGTCCACCCCATGGGCTTATGAGATTAAGCAGAAGGTTCTAAGTTCACCAGAAGTTGGTAATACAAATTGCAACAGTGCTATCTGAGACTTTGTTTTTATAGAATTATTGGGCAAACTCATTTTCTTGTGAATTTTCAGGAATTGGGCCATATGTGGAGGTAGCTTTCTATCATAAGCCTTCCAGAACTCTACTGGTAACAGATGCGGTAATTTTTGTGCCAAGACAGCCACCTGATTGTATTAGCAAAGAATCCTTGTTAGCATCTGCAAAGAATGGTTTGGCTGTAAAACTTCTTAGTAAAGGAAAAGAAGTACCTCAAGAACCAGTAGTTGACAACAAGGTGAACCGTCAAAAAGGTTGAATCTTCACTCCCCTTTCCAATTCAAAATTCTATTCTTGAGTGAATGTTACTAAAATGATAATCCAATATGAGGGTTATCATGTATGTTTTTTTAAAAGAAAAAAAATATTGAGTAAAAACGAATTTTTGGTGTAGGATGGGAAAGAATGGTTCTTCAAATTCTGTTTCTCGGTCCATCGAATCTGTTGGAACCTAATACTAGCTTTGCTCAGATGTCACAAAAGCTGATTGTTTCACCAATTGTAAAGACTCTGGTCTTCAGCAAAGTCCCTGAAAAGGTAGTTGAACCATTCTGATACAAATTTCTTTGCTGGATCTTGTACATCTTATATTCAATTTGGCTCGTCTTCTGGTATGCAAACTAATTAGTGAAATCACCAAATATAGCATGCCTGATGAGGGCACAAAGGTGTGGTTAAATGATATCTTTATTTCTTTGTCCGTGTGTGTATGTGTGTTGTTTTTGTGTGAAATAATCAAATCAACACTCTGCGCTTGTATACTATGGGCGATGTGCATTCACCAAAAAAATATGACAAGAAACTATAGTAAGTACATGAAATTCAGTATTATGGCTATTTGTGTCCCAAAAAAATGACTTTGCATTTTAATAATTCAGGTCAGGGATTGGGTTGATGGAATTGCACGGGAGTGGAGGTTCAAGAGAATAATCCCCGCTCATTTTGCTGCACCAATCAATGCAAGCAGGTCTGATTTGTTAGCTGCATTTGCATTTCTGGATGACCTTTTGGATGAACGCTATGTCACTCGGCCTTCACTCTCTCTTCTCTTCACATCACTTATGGGAAAGGCCGCCAGCTACTTCCCTCCCGACGACATGAAGACTTTATCATCGCTTGATAAGTTTTTGGTCTCGGTGGGAGCTGTGAAGAAGACTGTCTCAGGCCGGAAACGATGACATAACATAGCATGCAAATGTGCCAGTCGAGGTTTCACCTGTTCAATTTACATACTCCTCTGTACTTAGGCTACAAAGGTTCTTTGGCCAAACAAAAAAGGTAAAATGGTGCTGAGACTCACCATGGTTTTGTTATTTAACATCTTAAAATTGTACTTGATCACCTATAGGAGAAGATGCATGATATAATAGTACAGAAGTAAAGGTGCAATGGAAAGTATCATATTGTGGTGTTTTGTTGGAAAATTAAATTATTCTCTTTAAGCCTGGTCCTCTTGTTATTCAATGGTTGTAGAAACAAAGCAAAGAATAAACAATAAAGGTGGTTGCCGGGAGCCCTACACCAGGTCATTAAGAAAACATGTCAAAAACCAGAACAAACCAAAACTTTGCTTCAGGTTACATTTACTTACAACACCATCAAAGATATGTCCCATGGAAAGAGCCTAGAGAAGGCATGTCCCTCATCTGCCCTGCACAAATTTGCAGTTAATTTGGATTTCATTAGGGCAATACTGAAATTTGGGCACAATTAGATACGAAATTCATTCTCTTTGCTCACTGACTACTACCTATTAGAGATAGATGACTGGTAGGTGGCCATACATGACTTGGTTATCTTGTCAGTTGTCATGGGATTCAAGTAGGCAAAAGCTTCAAGGAAAGTTAGCAGGATATACAACCAATTGTTTCAAGAGAAGGTGGAAATTTTGTCCTGCAATGGATGACGTAAGGATCAATTGATACGACTGAAAGATACTAATCAATTCTTGAGCATAAAAAATCTAGCTTTTCGTTGGAAGGTCAACTCCCCAACTAAGTTCTGCTACCAACTACATTTAAGTTTTCGGAGCTTGATTATCAGCTGTCAAAGTAGGTTTCGCATAAAATATTTAATATTATATGAGATGAAAAGAAGAAAAGTTCTTATGGCTTTTGCTGGCCCAGCAATCAGTAAAGAAATGGCTTTTTATATATTTTTTTATAATAGCACTGTAGGAGCAAGCACGTCTAGATCTCAACTGGTAAAGAAGTCTGAAGATAGATAGATAGAGAGAGAGAGGGAGAGAGAGAATCCAAGGTGGCCTTTCCTAATTCTTTATTGTCCCTTTGCTCTTTTTATGCTTTATCTTTGGCCACAACTTTTTCAAAGCTTTGGGGCATGCCTCCATGAACTGATGCAACCCACCCACCTTCTTTGCTTTTCTTTCTCCATGATGATGTTGTACTAAAATGATTAAGGGGCATAACTTTCACCCCAAAAGGAAGCTAAACATCAACTTGGCCGCCCTCCAAGTTTGTGTGACGCTCTACATGAAACTTTAAGATGCACATTTCTCTATGGCGGGGAACCTAAAGACGGATATTGAAAAAAATTTGTTCCCGTTTAGCATGCGTGAATGATTGTGAATCGTCAATAGAATGGATCTTGTAAGGACTCCTTAAACATGCACTACTAAACAATCATTCTTTGGCACTATAATTTTTTATGGACTCAACAAGTGCAGCTAGATTTATACTATAATAACTAATGGTAATGAAATTGTTAATGATTGACTAATCAAAATTACTTACGCAGCTGTTGTATTTTAAAATTGTCACCCTCGATAACAATCATGTACGCACACCTGGTTACGGGAAGATGAAATTGAAAACATCACTGTCTGACACGATCTAACCTAGGTGTGATTAAAAAGTTGGTCACACCCATTTGTTAGCAATTAAATAGTTAAATATAAATAAATAAAAGCACCGACCCCTTTTGTTTTGTTTTGTTTTGAAGCAGATGCTCTATAAAATAGAAGAAGCATTTAACCGCCGTTCTATTAGTTGTTTAAAAGTTAAGTCTAG